CTCGTGAGACTTACACTGTGAGCAAAACGGAGCTGACAGGGGAGCTGCATGGATCAGGAGGGAGCTGACAGGAGCTGCAGGAAGGTAAGTAACAGCTCACTGTCAGCCAGTGGTGTATCCTGGTTTTGTGCTGCCCTAGGCAGGACAAAACTCAGGTGCCCCCCTCCCCCCGCGCCACCCCCACCCAACCCTTCCCCCCGCTCCACCTTCTAAATACACACACACACAGTCAGACACAAACACACACACACACAGTCAGACACATACACACACACAGTCAGACACAAACACACACACACAGTCAGACACATACACACACACAGTCAGACACACACACACACACACACACACAGTCAGACACATACACACACACACACACACAGTCAGACACATACATACACACACACACACAGTCAGACACAAACACACACAGTCAGACACATACATACACAGTCAGACACATACACACACACAGTCAGACACATACACACACACACACACACACAGTCACACAAACACACACACACAGTCAGACACACAAACACACACACACAGTCAGACACATACACACACACACAGTCAGATAAAACACACACACACACACAGTCAGACACATACACACACACACACACAGTCAGACACACACACACACACAGTCAGACACATACACACACACATAGACACAAACACACACACACAGTCAGACACATACACACACACACACACAGTCAGACACGAACACACACATTAACTTTTTTTTAAATTTAAATCCCCCCCAACCTCCTTACCTTTGGGAGTGCTGGGGGGGGGAGGTCTCTCTCTCCCTGGTGGTCCAGTGGCTGCCGGTCGGGCTGGGCGGCTCTGGCTGCTGGGCGGGCGGGTGGGCGGCTGGCGAGGGAGCTCTTCCTGTGATCTGACTGCTCAGCTCCCTCACGCGCTGCAGAGTGAGGCTGGGAGCCGGAATATGAAGTCATATTCCGGCTCCCAACCTCACTCTGCGGCGCGCGAGGGAGCTGAGCAGTCAGCTCAGAGGAAGAGCTCCCTCGCCAGCCGCCCGCCTGCCAGCGCAGCCCGCCCGCTCGGGATGTCAGTTAGCCGCAAGGCTAACTAGGCATTTGCCCTGGGCATTTGGGGAGCGGCGTTTTTTGCGGCTAATAGGTCCCTGCTGTCAGCCCCCAACAGGACCCGGCTGTCCTGGTCTGTATTGTGGCAATATAAATTGCCACAATACAGACATTGACTCAAGTATAAGCCGAGTTGGGGTTTTTCAGCACAAAAAATGTGCCGAAAAACTCGGCTTATACTCGAGTATATACGGTACTTAATCTTCCATGTAACTTTCTCTTTTCAATTCACACAAAAATATATCACGACATCTAGTGAAAATGGCCAAACCCATCTGGTTTTCTTTTTAATCTACCTATAAGGCTCATCCTTATTGTGAATCTGTGTGGACAGGTAGCCCCAAAAGATCGTGTTTTGTCTTCACGAGCTGGAGATGCCAAATATTCATCAACATTTCCAGCAAATAATGTTTTTTAGTACAGGGCAATAATTCCACTAAAGTCAGCAGCAGCCTATCCTAGCTGTATAGCAGTTCCCTACTATAAGAGACAGAACTCTGTATTGAGGGTGAAGTAAGACTAAATTTTAATGGTGCCACACTGGCCTTTTATGACAATCCCCATGCAAGGGGTACGCCCACATGGACCTTGTTGGGGACTCCAAGACAAAAACACAGACCAATAAGAACAGTGATTAAATGCACGACACTCTGATAACAAACATACAATCCCTCCCCTCTGCCTGGGAGATAATTGAGTCAGATACTGTATTAACTTAATTATGTCCAGGCAGAAAAACACATATTTCTAAAAAGTCCCAAAAGTACCCCAAAACACAAATATCCCCACAAATGTTACCCTGATCTGGGTGATCAACATATCCAAAAATCACCCAGATCAGTTCAGGGGTTCAGAAATTCTATGGAAGTCATTTATCTGACCGACCGCAGGCATGGTCCCATAGCCGAAAATAGTTCCATAGAATCGTGGCTAAGTGCCGCTAGAGAAACGACCGGGAACCGCAAAGTTTTCATGCCGAAAATAGTTCCAGGGCATTCGTGGCTGTCACCCTGAAGTTTATGCGTGGTTTTGGTCCATGCGAACACGATGGCCACCACCTCGTGGTCGTCCATGGGAATTGCGGCCACCCAGACGAACACTTAGACCACTGCAATGGAAATTGCAACTATGTGTCAATTAAACTTAACAAGCTCCAAGGTGGTCTCTGGTTCGTGCGTCTGTTTGATAAACGAACCATATAGTCCAAATTGCACGAACAGAGCCTGTTTAAAGTATTTTAGCCAGGTCTATTGCAGGGGCCATAGTCACAGGGTAGGAGGCTGGCAAACAAGCCCCTCCAAAAACCAGTGGCAAAGTTACTTTTGCCACATTCCCTTTGCCTTCCTGACATTTCTAACTTTAGTGCATAGCCCTGATTGTTTGTATATCTCCTTCCAGTGCTCTGCCTGCCTGAAACTACTACTTAATGACCATATATATTGTGTTGGTTGACTTTTTTTATTACGCTAATGCCTCTTCCTCCTTTTTTTCTGTATTTATCCCTTTTTTTCCCCCCCCTTTCCTTTCTTTTTTTGTCCTATCCCCCTCTTTTTTCCTTTCCTTTTTTCTTCTAACTATAGGTCCAACATTGAGATATTTTTCAAGAAAGAACTGTCACATAAGGTTCTAATAATATTGACTTATTCCCTTTTATTAGGGAGTCACTATGCATGTATACATTTCCATCTAGACAGTTGTAAGATCTAACCTTTACATGTGTTCAGCTATTGATCAATTTGAACTATTTTTATTTACATGTAGGTGGGCGATTTTATCTAGCCTCAAATCTTAGTTTAGATTAGAACAATGCTGCCCATAGATAATTAGTGCTGGTTGATCTTCTTTCTTCTCTAAGTCTGCGCGCATGCGCGGAGAATTTGGATCTTTCGGCACATTGTATCTTATCTAATTAGTGCCGGTTGATTTTCCTAAGTCCGCGTGCATGCACGGAGAATTTGGACCTCTCGGTTTACCGTAGCTTATGGGGGATGGATAGACACACCCCCCCTGTGGGAGATCGGCGGAGAGGATTGGGCCTTACCTCAACAAGAGGAGGAGTTACTTGCTTCATATAGAGTAAGTCTTAAGCGGGGGATTTCTAATTAGGATGCCCTTGAAAAAGGCGGTTTGTCTGCCGAAACGCGCGTTGGGCAATTGTTTGATGCAGACATTTATGTAGAACTTTACTATACACAGTTGTATGTACGTTTGCTGTACCCATAGTGATTCAAACGACCGGCCGGTCATTGATATTATTGGGGCATTTGTATTTACGTTCTGGAGACTATACAGTGGAGGGTTTATACCCTGTCTATCTCCCACTTTCTATATCATTTTTCTATACTAGCCGTCTTACTATCCTTTCGATTTCTTGACATTACTAATAGGCTTGTTACCTATTTCTGAGTATATAGAAGGAAGTGAGGGTTTTTTCTTTATATTTATTTCTATTTATAGAAAGTGAATTACATTAGTGTCTCCTGTTTAGAGATACACAGGGTTACAGCTCAGTACTATTTCGGCTTCCTTTTTAGCTGCTGCTGCTTTTGAGTTTTTTTAGAGGTTGCTACATTGTTTACACTGATTGTGCCTTGTAACTATCTAATTTGTATCTGTTATACTCAGTATGTTATAGACATGCTCAGCAGCTGTTTGTAGCCGTTATCAGTCTGCATTTCTCTTTTTATTCTATTTTTCTTTTTTGTGGTTTGGGGTATAAATATTTAGTGATGTACAATAAAGGTTATTATTAGATATATGTATTTTAATATATATTTTTCTGCTTGGGGGTAGCTCTAGTAGAGGATTTTCTCCTTTTCTCTCTTTTAGGGAGTTTCTCCTCTTACTATTGTTCATTTTTGGCAATTTTGTATGTAGGGTCAAGCCCGCCTTTAGCCCCTCTTTTTGTACTCCTGGTTAGAGTTTATGAATCTTTCTGTATTCTGCTCGGTAGTACGTTATATTGTTACGGTGTTATGTTCGTAACGTCGTTTTAAAAGAAAGGTGAGATTTACATGAAAAGAAATGTTAGCACAATTCTACTGAATGGCGTAACTTCCAGAGAAAGTTACCCGGAACGTTAATATTGTCCCCTCATTGCCCGACCACTATTAAAACAATTTTAAACCAGGTTAGATTTAATGTACGTACCAGAAAGAGTGAATTAATGCACTTTTCCCCAGTTATATGTGGAAATCAGCACAAATGGATTGCAGTCACTGGGTGATAACTGGGTCAGCGAGAGGAATTATTTTCTAGTCAAAGAGCTAATTCTCTGTCCCTGAACTTCCCCGTATTATCTATTAGTCACATGTATTAAAATAGTTACAAATGGTTCCTCACTCCCCTGGCACTGAAGAGGTTAAACAATGGTATTTACATTTTTTTGTCATAGCCCTGTCCACATGTATCCGCTCACCAACCACCAACATCTCCGCGTACGCACCCCAATGTAGATTGGGATTTTCACTTTCTAACTTTCTCCAGACTCCCCCCCACCCCCCCCGCATCCCGTTTAATTTAGACGAGGGCGGCTGCTTGATGACTTCTGGAACTTGTAAAAATGTTTGTTTTGGTTCTGTTCAGCCGACTTCGCTGATCCTAAACCTTCACTTCAACCCGCAGTCATTTGGAAATCTTATCTGCCAGCCTCAGGTTCATTTGAAACTATGATTTATTTGAAAAATATCGAGAACAGCTCCCGGATCAGCTCAGTTTGCTGAAGGAGGGGTGGTTTATTTATATAGGCCTTGTTTATTTAAAAACTTCACCTTTCTCTGCCACTGCATAATAAACACAAATCCAGCTTATTTAACAGGGACATTGCAACAGGCATAGCGTCAGTGCCCAGCTTAACCTCTCAGTGCCCAGGGGAGG